ACATTACACACAGGGCCTTGTAAATGTAATGTGTAACACTTTACAGGCGACAGCAAACAAAAACAAAAACTTATAACATGGGTGAAACAGGACACCACACGTGTACGATCTCAGCCGCGCAGTATCATATAGCAGTCAAATTGCAAAGGGTCCTGGACCCCCAAATCGAGGCAAATCATAATAGATTACCTGTAGTGGGATGCGCACGATGTGCTTTGTAACGTTTACAATTAACTATGTTTAAAACTGCGCGGCTGAGTAGTCCAGAGGTAGGATTGGACTCCCTACAACACAAAATTTCACAAAGATCATGCGTGCCAGCGTTCGCTTACATTAAAACGTATGATGGTAAATGGAGACCTTTATATTGCGATTTGTTATTTCCTAACACTATTACTAATTACTATTTCTATTTTAAGCACCAGTCACCAGATAATAATTTTAAGGCGTCCACGGACGCCTGGACGCCCTCAATAGCCGCCTCTGGTAAAGATCAGCTTTATGAAAGGCCAACGGTATTGTGAAGTGATGTCATTTGTCAGACGCAGACTGCGTTTTGATCTACTCAGAACCTGTATAATCTCTATCAGGGGGTACAGAGGTACCAGATCTCTTCCACCCACAGCAATAAGTGATTTGGACCTTAACCTGATCAACACTCCTAAACCCTAAAAGGTCATGGAGTGCTTGTTGGATGGGGGCCTAAACTGCTTTTTGTTGTGATGTGAATTTGTTATATATTATTACAATATAGGGTCATTGCTATATTATGTGTATATTGTTTGAAATATTGATATTGACTTTAACAACCTAATACTAGTCATTGGTTCTTTAAACTTATTAAACATTATTATACGATTTCAACTGGGTTTGTAACTTTCATCTAGAACTGGGTTTTTCAACTTTTGAAGAGGGATTGATGTCAGCCTATTTTATACATCTTGTTACAGTAGCGTAACGTTGCCTGTTGGCGTCCCTCCCCCTTGGTGAAAAACCGCCCCCTGTTGGTGCCCCTCCCCTCTTGGCACCCATCATTGTCAGTTGTTCATTCTTCATACTACTGCTATACCAGTGACCTAGTTTTATCGAATAACACTATAATTGGAAGTTGGAACCTTACAAAGTCCTATTTTTATTTTTATTATTTTTAAATGGACGGCCCCAACGTTAATGTGGCTCTTGCTATGTGTTGGTTCAGCCGAATTAATTATTATGTAATCAAGTTTATTTTTCTCTTTTAGTTAGTTGTCATCCGGCCAAACATTAAGCAATTTATATTGCAGTTCCATTTATCAAATAGTATATCAAAATATGTCATTGTAATTTTGCATGGCTGAAATGTAACGCTTGATTTATATATATAATAATCAATTGAATTTTCAAATAAAAAAAAATAAAACAGTTAACCGAATGATTCATTAATTCAGGTCATGAGTATCGCTGAATTCTATTTGATGAACAGTCGATATTATAATGGCTATGATACTGGTCTAGACATTTACAACCCATTTGATGATGACTATGATGACCATTTTGCCTATGACAACATGTATGATTATGATGCCTATAATCATGATAGTGATGCCATCGATAGTTTTGATGGTAGATCAGATTCAGATGAATTCTTAGAAACGTGCCTTCCACCTCGTTTTTTTCCTGATCCGAAAAAGTTCCCTGTAGAGTGGATGAGACGTGCTCTTAAAATAAGATCTGAACACTGCATCCCATTAACAGCCTTGCCAGATGATATTGATGTCCTTCTTTCCGAGAAGCTTGAAATTCCCATTTTCGAACATCTTTGGGAAAGTCTTCTTTACCTCAAGGAAATCACTTCAGTTGGAATGTTAAGAGTGGAAAGTTCCGATGGAATTTGTGAGGATAAAGACGAAATGACAACTTGTATATGGAAAAATTCCATTGAATGTTTTTCTTTCTTCCCAAAGGATACTCGAGACAAAGTTGACTGTTGGTTTGGGATGTTCAATGATCTTTTCATAGAAAGAATTCAATCATTGATTCCATCTACATTGCCATACATAGCATGGGTATCTATCATCAGTCATTTGAGTAAAGAAAAATATTCTGATAACAGAACTCTTTTTACCAAAATCGGAACAATATCCGAAGACAAAGATGCTCAAATTATGGAACGGTTCATGATTAGGGAATGTATATTGAGGATTGTTGAAATCACCAAAATATTTTATCGTTGTCTCCACAGTGAACTTGCATGGGATAGTATCACCATTAACACGATTAAACAATTATTTCCCACCCTTTTAAAGGGTTTGGAAACATCAATCGATCGTTTGCTACATTACCTTGAATCACCATCTGAGGGCCTTTTAAAATTTGTTGATTACTCTGTAATAAGCAATTACTCCAAGAACATGGGTAGTTTTATGGACTTGAATATGGCTGGAAATGAAATAAACGATTTTGACATACTCAAAATGGTACCAGCTAGTAAAGATCACCAAAGCAATTCTAATTACTTTACTATGTTCTTAGCTGATAATGAACAAGAAAACTCATACCATCTTTTATGCATTGACAAGAATTCTAAGGCATACTCCAAGGAGAGTGTAACGTATTTTTTTAACCAGAATGCCTTGCTTTCGGATCAACCACCTCAATTGTTTTGCTGTGCAGATTTGGTTGCCGGCATTGGTTTAGACACACAGAATGGCATTGAGCTCACAGTTTGGGATTTTGATTTGCCAGAAAAAAGTAGAAAATGTAATATGAAAAATATTGAGAAAGGATGGACAACAGTGCATCCAGATAAAGAGCTAATTAAACTGGCTGACTTGAAGATAAGGGGCTTGGTAAAATGCAGCAAACATACTTATGTGATGTTCCATATTGGAGACTCATGTATTATTGCTGATTATGAATTAGAGGGTTTATCAAGTTTTAAACAGAAACGGATTTCTCTCTTTGAAGATTCAGTTCCTTTAGGCGTTCACAACACCACAGCTTTCGTCCTGAAAGAAGATGTACTTGTCATGCTTGACATAATAGATCCAGACAATGCTACTGCTAACAAGATACATTGTGGAAAGGAATGGAAAATGCAGTTCAATAGCAACCCCGAATCTGATCTTTGTATTCTTTACAGAGGTAACAGGGTACAGATAAGGAAACTCGATCATAAGTTGTCTCTAGTGAAAGAACTTACTGCTGACTGGGATTGCTATCCAAACTCAGTACTCTGTAATGCACTTGAAATGCATTTCTTTGATAATATCATTTATGGCTTTATAAACAATAAAGCAAACAAATTACCCAATACTAACGAAGATTTTTTGAAAGAAACGGAAGAGAAGGACAGGAATAAATGGAGTCTCAGAGGTTTTTTAGCTGATAGATTCACCAATGATACTGAACATGATATGCACTTCTTACTTGATATTGATAGTGCTGAAAAAGGGCTCATTGGTCTAGATTGGAGAGGCCAGAGCTACAATGGCCCTTATCATGATATGGTTGAAAACATTTTCCAATCTGCTAATGTGGATATTGAAAATGTTCTTACAGGATTCAACCGAGATGGAGAACTGGTCAAACTGTCTATGAATGTTAACGATTCTTTCTCCTTCCTTAAGTGCGATAGACAAAGTATTGTTTGTAAGTGCTCAGCGTTTTCCTTTGTCTATGCTAAAGTTTTCAAGACATTGAAAGAGACCAAAGATCTCATGTTGCCCAGTGTCAAAAGAGTTTTTGACCAGCTGAAGGAAGATAAAAAAAAGAGGGAAGCGCTAATAAAGAAACAGGAAGAATACAAGAAGATGTTTGAAGAGAAACGCCGACTTATGGACGAGAAAGAGAAAAACGTAAAAGATAAAGTTAAAGAATATGTCGAGCTTGGAACTACCGTCAAAGCAACTATTCACCGTTGGCTTTATGCTGAATGTTACGGTTTTGCAACTATCGACATTGATGAGGGGAAACAAGACGTGTTCGTTCATAAAACTTGTGTACCTAACAAAAATAGAAAACATCTCAAGGAAGGGACCTCACTGCAGTGTCAACTTAAATGGGATCCAAATCATCCTAGACCTAAAGCTGTAAATGTAAAACTGGATTTGTAAACCTGGACTTGTAAAGTGTATACCTGGATTTGTAAAACGGTGTCAATGATTGAACTTAATTATGATTTTGCATGTTTGTTTATAATATAATATGGAGTATAAATTGATGGTTGTTATTCTCAAGAAATGTCGTCTTAAGAAGTTACAGATGTTGCACATTTTCCTTTTTAAATATTTTTAGTGAATGGCATAGGTATGTATAGACGTATTTCAGATTTTTATATAATTTATTAATATTTTAAACGCTGGTTCAAAGTTTAATTTGATATTATAAGGTGTATAATGTGTGTAATAACACTTTGCAACAACTTGAAAAAAAGTTTTGTTGGCAGTAGACGTCATTCTATTTTAAAAATTTAATTATATATATATAATTTGTTAACCAAAATGTATTTGAAGTATGATAATGTATCTAAAATAATAATAATTCGATGTATCGATTTGTTAAAGTTTATAGAGGTTTCATTGACAACATCCTAAAATGAATAGCATCAATCCTTTCTCTAATTTAAAGATTCAATTTGGAGTCTTTCATTCTTGAATACCCATAGATTTAAATCGACATGAAATTAGATTCATTAACAATTTTACCAATTTAGGTATAATATTATGAAGAGTATCATATATTCCATTAGTGGCCTTTTGTGTCGTTGTGTATAGTAATAAAGCTCGATGTGTCACCAACCATTTATTGCACGAACCTGCCAAACGAACAGTGGTTCAACTAAGGGCCCCGCTGACCCGGCAGTGCAGGGTGCGCCATCTTGGGAGAGGCTCCAAATCGTCGTTTGAATATGGGACAATTTGAAAAACGAAACTAAAGTTCTAGCAAAATCTATTGTTTTACTCTAGAAACACATTAATTTAGAGATTTTACGGTACCGGCTAATTCTCGTACTGTATTTGAATACTTTCAGGAATGTAATATTATGACCTGGGTGGCAGATTTTCTATTCAGATGTATCATTTACTATTGATACTACTTGTTTCTTCGTGTATAACAGGTAATTGTAGTTTTATTATTGTCAATAAACTGACTTATTTTATGGTGCCATTGATAATTTAATTATTATTTTATCATGTGTTGCATGTAATTTGTTGTTCTCATCTCATCAATGTAATCAATAATTAATTTCCACAATAATAATAAAAACAACAATGGTGTTTACAATTGCACTTCTCCAGGCCAGAAGTACATCAAGAAGTTTTATCATGTAACACACGACTCACAGAGTTTAGAGACCTATAAACTAGCGAGCATCTCAGATTCGTCTTTCCTGTTTGTGTTGTCATACGGATACAGGTATATATTGGGTATTGATTTCTCATTGCTTGCCTAATAAGTTTATTAAATAGCAGATCGAGTATTTGTGTAAATATAGATTTTGATTCTAATTTTAGTCTAGTATTTGAACAATTTGATTAATAAATTTTATGAGACAGTTTTCTCACATATTTACCAATTTTGTCAGCATGAATACGAAGTTGTTACTTTGAAACGTCGTTCTTCCTAACAGTGCGGTATTATTTGTCGCAAGAAATCAGAATAATCAGAAATTATTTGGAACTCCCAAAAACTGTCCTAATAAACTACATGTTAAATATATTAAGTAGCTATGTATACCAGTAGGACATTTTCAAAAATGTCCTTCCATTTAAAGTGTTCTCCTCTTCAAAAATCCTCCAAAATGTCGTCGTACCAATCAGTGAGGTCGGTGAGAGCGGGGGGGGGGGGGGGGGGGGGGGGGGGTGACACATCAAGATAATGTATAATTTATATCCGGAGAAAACTTCGAAAGAATGAAAGTTTTGAAATTATCCTACCGGTCGCGGTATATAGTTTCAATCATTATATAATAGAGATGTTTATTTCTTAGATTGGCACGGCACTAAACAATTGCTATTTTAGAGACCTGAGGATTAAGCTGTATCCACCTCACCACCTAGACTCGCTATCAACCCCTCTCCTTGAGTCCCACAGTGATCACACTCTTCTTACTGGTTATGTTGAAGGTTTGTTAATCTACTGCCACTGGTATAATTACTGGTAATACTCTACTGGTATTTCTAGAACTACTAGAACTACTGGTAATACTCTACTGGTATTACTAGTAATACTCTACTGGTATTACTGGTAATACCAGTGGTCAACCGGGGGCAGGATTCTAACCGGGGCCGGGGCCAGGGAGCCCCAATATAGCCGGGGCCGGGAAATCTTCCATTTTGCCGGGGCCGGGGGTAGTTTACCAAACTGAAGTCAGAAATTGAAACATGAATTTGATAATAATTTAGGCTGGTGTGATGCAATCGATAAGGATTAAACTCAAGGTGCGGCTTATCCTCACCGACTTGAGGATTAAACCGCAACTTCGTGCTGTGAACCAACTCAGGATAATCCTCATTATCCTGAGATCCATACTTAATTTCTAATCCTCAACTCGGAACGGAGGATAACCTTCAGCTGCTACTTTATCTGGACCTCGGGATTTAAAAGTAATCCCACATCCAAATATGGCTCAGTTCACAAAAATTTACCATAAATGTTAGGCTCTGTAGTTTACGTTGAGCCGTAGTTTTAGCTGCAGTGCAGTATTTTTACTTTCTAGTTTCTACGTATGTTTTATCGCAAATTTCTCGGAGACGATTAATTGAAAAGTCTGATCATACTGAGGAAAAACCACGGTTTTTATGTTACTAGCCGTAGTCTAATTAAAGCCGTATGTTGTATTTTCTATATTTAAACGTACTCAACGTAGACAATAGATTTTTTAACTTTGAAATCTCATAATTACCATTAAATTGTGTTTGATTTTTTTCAAAAATGTGCCAAAATCATTCATGAAATCCCCGGCTGTGCCCCCGGCAAACGCATGTTTTTTGGCCGGGGCCGGGGTTAAATTTATTGGCCGGGGCCGGGGCTTACCCCCGGCGATTTGCCAAATTTTTGCCGGGGCCGGGAAGGGCCGGGGCCCCGGTCGACCACTGGGTAATACTCTACTGGTATTATTGGTATTACTGGTTTAATGATGCATCTTTATTTTGCGTCATGACGATTAACATTAGATACTAACATTAGATACTGCTTGTCTACCCATTACATCTACTGACTGGCAGAACTGTTAAATCACCATGAGATGTAGCGATACTTAATAAATCAAATCATATGATTAATTTTAACCGATCATGGCACATAACAACTAACAATCACTATCAAATTTCAGGTGATCCTAATTCGGAGGTGTTGGGTCACTTCACAAAAGAGGGTATATTCAGTGGTGTAGTGTACACAGCGGAAGACACCATTCACATTGAACCTTCCCACAGATTTGGAGTCACTACCTCTCACAATGTATGTTTTCGGTTTTAAAAACTGTTTTTCAGATTTTAATTGCAGCATTCACTTTTTACTAACCACTTTGTTGGTGGTGATAAGAATATCAGGTTATATTTTACATTATAAAAGTGTGAGAATTGACAAAAATAATAAAATTGAAATGTCCAGGTGGTCTATCACAGATCAGATGTAGATTATACAGAGGTTTACAAGAACTTTAAATATACTACCCCTGGTAATGTATATAAAGTTCCTAAAGAAGATATTCGCAAAGAAAACATTACATCAGAGGAGAAGCCAATATCGTATTCACATTATGTCAAGTAGGTCCCCCCTCCCCCCCCACCCCCCCCCCCCCCCTCCGAAGCTTTTCTAAGTACACATAGAAATTTACAACCTTTTCAAGTTCTTAAATATTGGATTAGAAGCTGGTCTTGAGCAGTTAACCAAGCAGGATACAGCTTACATTCTTCAGCCCGGCTCACCCCAGACACTCCTTTCCTTCTTACAACTTGCATTTTACAGACGGAGCGCCCAAGCTAGCGAAGACATACCAAGGAGAAGAAGGACATGTCCAGTGTATCTGGTATCTGATCATCTGTTCTTCGAGAAACACGGATTGAGCGATGAACAGAGAACTAAAAACGAGCTCATTCTACATTTACATGTTTGTTAAACATAGTTATCTGTTGCCATTATGCAATTGATTGATACAGTAGTTCAGATTAGAGCCCTGGCAGCGAAAGAACAATCTTTACCGAATTAACAGTTGATATCGATAATCAAAGTAAAAGTTATATCAACTTTATAGCGCAGTGGATAAAGTGTTATTTTCTATTAATTTTCATCTTGTTTTTTGAGCTCAGTATATACAAAACAAAAAAGTGCCCTAAGCTAATTTCAGGCTGGTGTAAGGTTTAAATCTGTATGACTTTACTTCTGATATAACTTCTGTATATATCATCTTGTATTATAACATCCTGCAGGAAGCAGATAAAATATTCCGTTCCACTGATTTCAACCAAGACGGAACAAACGATAACGTTGGATTTAGTGTGGCTAACATTTCTATACTCAAGAAGAACACCGCTGAAAGCAAGTTTAGTGGTACGTCATTCTGGTCTTAATTATCATGATAACTAATTAATTATTAATTATTGGCTTGTATATTGTCATTGGTTTATCAGTTTCTTGTTTCTTGTGTTACTTGTCGGTAAGTTTTGTGAACTAACAACTTTATAAAAGCATTGTTGAATAATACCCAATAATTGAATGTACAATAGCTGACCCAATTATAACTAATTAGCAGATCTAAGCTGACTACATTTTGCTGTTTATGTAACCTATAAAATTACTCAGAAGCCCTCTGAAAATGTAACCCCTATTTAAAACCATCTCCCAGACAAAGTTATTGGAGTTAAAGAGTTCCTGGACCGGTGGAGTGAATACAACCACGACCAGTACTGTCTGGCAGTTCTCTTCACTTACCGGGACTTTGACAGTGGAGTACTCGGACTTGCTTGGGTAGCGTCAGTAGATGGTAAGCTTGGGGGAAATCTTGCGATTTCGTTTTATCGGTCTCGACATTTCCCTTACAACCAAAGTATCAATATTGATTTGTCTAGAGTGTCTACACGGTTGTAATGTGGGCGAAAGCTACGGAGATTTCCATGATTTTAAGTTTTATCAGAGCATAATCTTAGTCCTGCAAAGATTGGGACTTGCAAATTTAAAAAACATTTATTGATTATTGCACGTTGTAGGGTACTGAAGTATTAAACTTATTGGTGAAATTGTGTGCATCTTTCCAGATAAAAGTCGAGAATATAATAAAAGATACCAAGTTAAAAACCAATTAGTCATAGAATTGGTCCATATATCAAACTTATTCTAACGGCACTTAACTAAATCGAATCCGATTGGAGACTCATTCGCAAAATTATGCACGAAGAGCGTGCATGAATTAAATTGTAACAGATAACAGTCGGATAAGGCAGTTTTACTTTATATTCCAATTATCTCAAAACATACCAGTTTAAATTTCATCGTAATGTTTCGGAAATTATTTTTGCCTATGAGATTGATAGTCAGAGTTAATTTAGCAACAAATTTGTGGAACATTCTGTGATACATTTCAAACGCAAGGAAATATTTTCGATGCTCCATATACTCCTCAATTCACCATCTAGTGTTATCGCTTCTCGGCCTTTTGGCTAAGATCAAGTGTAGTATCTGTTCTTATCAGTTTAATATCTGATACGCTACTCATCGAGTAGCTTCAATATTAAATTGATTTTTGGAAATCGGTCTTGGATGTGAAGCTTGCTTCAGCCAGACCACGAGTCTTCCCCGTATTGCAGTACCTCGGGGCTAGGCTCACCTCCCTTTGGGGAGGCCCTTACCAACAAGATGAAAATATGTGCATGCAGCATCCTAGGCAGTTACGTGGGGTGCCTACTGCCTAGGTTATAATGCTCATGAACATAAAATAGAAATTCGGCGGTTTGACAGGCTGAGCGCCGCCCAGTAAGCATGGCAGATCTGTTTAGTGTGACATGACATAGTTCCATGTTATTTCTTGATATCACTGCACAGTTCTCCGAACATCGCACCATCTCTCAATTCTTCGTTCAATATATTGCATCAGTTTGAAAATCTGAAACGATCAATATCTGAGTGGGTTTGGAGTTCGGACTGCAGTGTAGATTTTTATACTCAGAAAGCTATCTTCAATCTTATGACCTCACAGAAATATCTATTTCCGACATTTCGACTAAATCGCAGCTTTTTAGTCAATCTGTTTGATCTGGCGACAGCTTCTATATTCCCGAGGCCTACTTACTTTGCAGTTTTAATATACAATTTGAACACTTTCATGGTTGGGGACCCGGCACATGGGTACCTATTTACGCGATCAAAGGCCCAAAACTAGCGTAACAGTGCAAAGACTGGAATGTAGATGCGAATGTAGATGCGATGATTCAGATAAATTGTTCATTAAATTGTACATATCTATCTATTGGTGTCGAGATGTATAAGATAAATCTTCTTTCTATATTACCTAAATTTAGGCATACCTCTAAGATACTAAGAAAGAGGCTGTGTGATATCAGATGCTATGAATCGTATTTGTAAAGTGTTAAAGTATTACATCACTCAAATTGCGTTAGTGCGCTTACAGACAAGGTCTACAAAAGAATGTGTCTGGAACACGCGAGTCGCCGTAAGACAATTTCAGCATCTGAAAAGTTCGTGCATGCTGCGCGCGCGCGGCGAGCCTGTTTAAATTTACTCGATTTAATTTATAACACAGGCTGGCAGCCTGCATGCATCTCGGTACATCAGGCCAAGCGGCAAGTACCTGATGTTTAGAACTGCATTACTGTATCAGTCACCAATAATTCTCAATAGTTATATAAATTATTTTACTCCACACACATGTTTACTTGTCAGTCGTTGCCCGACCTTAATATCATCTCATCGTAGACGGGATGGTGGAGGGGCTGCCGGTGCATGCGAAGCCGTACACATGTTTTCTGGTAAAATTTTCTACCACGAGAAATATGCTACGTCTATCCGGTCTATGGTGATGTCTTTTCGACACAGCATTGGATCAGACTGCTCCTGGCTCCATCGATTACGATCAGCAACCATTTCATTTATGGACACGTTCATTTGAGTTTGAGGATATTGGTAAATATAAGTGACCCTATTAAAAGGCACAGTGTAGTTGACTTTGTCACACTATGAAATTACACAAACCCTTGATGGTTAGGATAATCGTTTCATCCTCTAGGCTAACTTTGTCACTTAACGATATCTTAATCAGGTGATAAGATATCGCTTAAATACGGCCGGCACGGAAATGGTTACATTGTCACACTATAAACATGTGACGGAGTAAATATGGACCCCTTGCTGCCGTTTTTGACCAAATTTTTGGGTGTCCAGTTGATTGGATGGGTACATATGACCATTACCTACATATTTGACGACTTTTTTCGTTAGATGGTGCACTCAGGTTTACTCTGTCACACATTTAAGAAAACATGTGAAGAATGTTTAGGGCACCCTGATAAGCAATGCTGAGTAGTGTAGGTTTATTTGATGGCCTGGAAGTGCTAGGAATTGTTATTATATCATATAGTCGTAAGGAATTAAAACACAGAAGGCACAAACAAGTTTACTTTGTCACATAATCTTGATGATATCTGAACATGTGTGAAATTAAACAAATAATGATATACCAGCTTAAACCCCTTATATTACATACTATGGATCAAACAACACTGCTAGTACCACGCACCAGTCACATAAATCATTATCGGGTGGCAATATGTTAACAGTGTCACAATTAAACTACCGCAACATGGTCAAAAATAGGGTAATTTCGTCACAACAAAATTATTATAACTCTGTTAGCTCCTTGCTGGCAAAATAACTAGTTCATTGATGATAAAGTTACATAGTATTCTAATAGAAGTATAGCTCTTCAAAATAGGGGCAAGACATGTTTACTTTGTCACATCAGTTATTATAAGAGTTAGGTAATCGTCATCAGATTAACAGATCTTTTTCGTAGTTTGAATCGATTAATATAGTATAGGCAATAAAGCATCCTATGCCAATTTTAACACACTATCTTGATATTTTTGGGGCAGGGAAAGTTAATTTTGTCACATTTTCAGCGTCTTTGACAAATTAATCTAAAATTGTTAAACTTGAGCCCTGATGTTCTAGACAATATTCTACCAATCGTTTCTGAAAGAATGCTGAATTCTAATAGAGTTATAGATCTTCAAAATAGGGGCAAGACATGTTTACTTTGTCACATCAGTTACTATTAGAGTTAGGTAATCGTCATCAGATTAACAGATCTTTTTCGTAGTTTGGATTGATTTATATAGGTAATAAAGCAGCCTATGCTAATTTTTACACACTATCTTGAAATTGTTGGGGCAGGAAAAGTCAATTTTGTCACATTTTTAGTGATTTTGACAAATTTAACCTAAAATTGTTAAACTTGAGCTCTGATGTTCTGGACAATATTCTACCGATTTTTGTCTGAAATCTAGGTAAACTATAGGTAAAAATATAATATTAATCATAAGCTAAAATGTACTAATCTTTGTATTCTAAATGGGGAAAAGAAGAAACATTGTCAGTCAGTCGAGAAAATTGTCAGTCAGGCTATATGGCAGCTTTGTAGATGTTGTGACAATGCTAGTAGTGGTCCCAGGCTTGCGACTGGAATTGCGGTGTTAAATCGATTTAACGGTATACCAACGATCCACCTCCCACTTGTTGTTTGGTACTTAGCATTAATAGTGTTAGCTGTAGCCATTTATAGCAAAGAATGTTGAATGCTAATAGAGTCATAGAATATACAGATCTTCAAATAGGGGCAAGACATGTTTACTTTGTCACATCAGTTATTATAAGAGTTATTATAAGAGACTATTTCATTCTATAATCATTATTTTTAACCTATTTACGATTTCGTATCATTTTTTGTGACAATGTAAACACTGATCTTAACTTGCATCAACTACATTGTCATCAAAGTTTTCCCGCCTTTCAAACCAAAATCAGATATAAATAATTCGCCCAAAATTTAAAATTCCAAATATTGTGACGGAATTTACCTCATTTCCCAATAACCAAGTGCCTTTTTAGCTAACTATTCGAAACAACATATTTTAGGGCTTTGATTGGTAGATCAACCATCAAATAATGAGTTAAAAGGTTTTTGAGGACATCTCATAGTAGAATAGAGGTATGGTATTCTGAGTGTGACAAAGTTACCCAAATATTGCCTTGTAACCGTTCGATCCGTGCCCTTTAACCAATGTTGTATCATAATTGTTAGATTGACCTAATCTACTATATTTCAGACCAAGGAATGATAATTAGACAACTGCAGTTAACTAAGTCACACAAAATGTGACATTTGAACCATTATAGTGCCTAACAACAATAGATTTTCTTTCTGAGCAGTGCATATGGGAGTATGGGTTACGTGGCTAATGTTCAGAACTTCTGAACGTGCTAGGTTAATAGATGTCAAAATTAAGCCACTATCGTCGAAAACGCTATCATTTTTGTTTACCAATATCCTCAAACTCAAATGAACGTGTCCTTATACCAATCATTACGACATTTTGTCGAGCCTTCGCTCAGTAACGCTAGTTTTGGGCCTTTGATCGCGTAGATAGGAACCCTTGTGCTGGGACCTCAACTATGAAAGTGTTCAAATTGTGTATTGAATTATAACTGCAAAAGGCCTCGGGAATATAGAAGCTGTCGCCAGATCAAACAGATTGACTAAAAAGCTGCGATTTAGTCGAAATGTCGGAAATAGATATTTCTGTGAGGTCATAAGATTGAAGATAGCTTTCTGAGTATAAAAATCTACACTGCAGTCCGAACTCCAAACCCACTCAGATATTGATCGTTTCAGATTTTCAAACTGATGCAATATATTGAACGAAGAATTGAGAGATGGTGCGATGTTCGGAGAACTGTGCAGTGATATCAAGA